ACCCAATTCTTCCAAAGGTTGTCAACCCGCGGGTAAATCCACGGGTCGACCCAATTTGACCCTGACCCGGTGAGAAAAATGGGCCGCACGCACCCACCGGGCCGACCGCTATTAGGTACCGGGTTGAAGGTCAAATTGTGTCATTTTTTCTTTAGTTTGCGAAATGAGCCTATTTTCCAATTTTCCTTTTCGCCTAACTCAATCTTTGGAATACTAAGTTGAACATTTGAATATTTATGTTATATAAGTGTGTGTGAATTTTCACTATATGTTGAATCTAAATACGATATGTTATTTTGGTGTAATATTATATGTTATAACTCATATGTTAGATAAGATTTGATATAATTTATGATGATAAGTGCAATATAATGACTTTTTCTATATTTCCGGGACAAACCAAGCTAAAACGGTTCACCCATTAACCCTTGACCCACTAGCTAGACCGGGTCTGGGTAAACCCGCGTTGACAACCTTGCTTCCACCTGTTTACAGTTTACCCAACTCTCTCCCAACAACAAATCCTTCCCCTTCTTCCACCTCCTTCTCCTAAAACGGATCCTTCTTTTACAAAATTTAATATTGTAATCCTTCCCAAAAACGAATCTGTACCAGAATAATAAACATCCTTAACTTAAGCTTCCTCCACTTCCATTCTCTCCCAAACATCCTCAGATCTATTTTCGCAAAATCGAAACCATGGGGAGTCTCTCCACCACTCTTCTTCCCCAAGCTCTCGAGAATAGAGTTCCACCTGCAGTGGCTCAGAAACCCGTCGATCGAATCGTGGGAAAGAGCTGCGGTGCCCAGTTACGTACCAGCAGACGTCTCTTGGTTTCCTCTATCCGCCGCACGAACCCGTCAGGCAGCCATTCGGGTCGGAAATTGGATTGACGGCCGGATCACCCATAGAAAAGAAACGACGCTCTGTTCTAGCCCCATCGCGAACTCCATCATCTGCGATGGGTTGATGCTGTTCTGGGATCCGAACGAGATGTACAAAACCGAACCCAGATGTGGGATTCGGGCCATTCGATACACTTCGCAACAGAGGGCCAATCCCCCAGATCCGCGATTTGAATACTTACCGAGGAGTTCGAATCCTAGTGGCTCGATTTCTTCCACAGAATTGTAGAGCCACCCATGAGATTTTTCTAGGGATTTGGAAATTTGGGGCTGGAAGAATTTCGTCTACAGATCTTATCCATCGGCCTTCCTCAGAAATTGATGCAGTTGGGTGATGTGGAATCGGCGATTATCGGAGGTTCGAGTGAGTGTCGTGGGGAGTAAGTTCAGTGAAGAAGGAAAAGAGGAACAAATTCAATAGGGGAAGATGAAGTCAGGGGAAAAGAAAATGAGAATAAATTTTTTAAATAATGATTACAAAATTAAATTTTTAATATGACGTGGCATCCATCTGTTATTGAAGATTGAGGTGGAAATGAAAGAGAGGGTGAGTTGGCAGCCACATCAGCATTCCGTTAATTTGACCAACGGTGTCACTAATGCCGTCAAACTATGTAACGAAAATGGCTATATTTGTCATCAAATGTTCAAAATTTTGGCTATTATTGGTATTTCCTAAAAAATGGCTATTATTGTCACAAACGTTAAAATTTTGGCTACACAGATGAATTTTGCCTATATCAAATATAATTCGATTTGGTTTTATGTATTATTTTAAGTATGAAGAAAAAGTTAACAAAATTGAATTTGGACCAGATCGAACCAAATCAAATGAATCAAACACGCTATTGATTAAATTATGGTCCTCTTTTTTTCCTGCCCCGTCCTATTTCAATTCGATCTCGTTCTGGATTAATCCATTGATACCCACACCTACTTTCACAGATCCCTTCATTTCAAGTTGATTGGGCTTGTTGTACAATTATTTGAGAGGGACACAGTTGTACAAATTCGGGCTATCCCTTTGCCAAGGCATCCGGTAGAGGCTAGATTTGTCTGGCACCATGAGATCTCTAGTTCCTACGCGGTTCGGTCGGGGTATCACTTAGCTTCGGACCTTAGGCGGTGTCGATATGTTCAAACTAAACAAGAGCCTCTGATTTGCGATACTGTTCTGTGGGGTAATGTATGGGATGCTTCGGTGCCAACTAAGTTTCAATTCTTCTTTGGAAATTGTTGCGGAGAGTTGTCCCCACGGGAAGGGTATTTCTGTGCCCATGTGTTTATGGGAGGTGGAATCTGCTGAACATTTATTTTCCATTGTAGATTGGCTTGGGGTTGTTTGGGAGGCTTATGGGCTTGGTTCTCTTCGTGATTCTTTTCCAACTTGCTCGATGGAAGTTTTCTGGAGAAGATTTCTTGACCAAGAAAACTTGGAGGGAGGGATGCTTATGCGTGTGTTCGCCCTCATCTGGCGTATATGGAAAGGTCGAAATTGGGTGGTTTTTTACTCCACATTGTTCACGTCATTTGTGTTGCTCTCACAGTTCAATAGACAGAAAGCGGAGTGGGAGGTGGTGGCTTTGACCAATGGGTCTACACATTTTCCTGCTCCTGGGAACGGGCTGAGAGGGGGCCAAGGAAGGGGCAGTGTGGGTGTTCACGGATGAGGTCAATAGTTCAGGTTTTCATGGTGCAGGTGGCAGGGTGATGCAGGACGCCTCATGAACGTTGCTTGGTGATGAAGCCTGCTTGTACCCGGACGTCCAATATGCTTTCTTGGTGGCGCTTTTAGCTTGGAGGGATGGGTCTGTTGGGCGCTTGAGATGGGTATGCAGAATGTCGTTTTTGCCGAAAATGCTCAGGTGGTGCTGGACAAGGTTAAGGAAGGTTGGTATTTGGATGCTCGTGTTATTGAGACAATGTTTTCACCAGTTTAGTGTTTGTTTTGTTGGTTGTGTTCGCAATAGCCCATATGATGGTCAAGAAATCCTTTTCATTGTTCCCTAATTTTCTATGGTTCGGTTTTGTTACTGGCTTTGGTCGGCCAACTGACTCTATTCTATCTTGATTATCTCGTTCTATACGAAGTATTTTTTTTGGGGGAAAAAGTTGATCGGGCTTGTGGCCCTTGTGGGTGACGGTCACTTCCAAAAGTTGGCCCAAAGTAGTATTAGTATCTTTAGTAAAACTGGGCCTAGCTACCAAGCGGGCCCAAAACAACTCCAACTGTCAAAACCAGTTAGAGACAGGACGTTCTTCGTTCTCGTTTCACTTCAAATCTCCAACTATTATGTTCAATTAACCTGCCTGTGTTTTCTCAACTTCGACCTATGCTTGCCTGATACATTTACTGAATTCTATGGAGTCTACAACCAACACCTTCACTACGTTGTGATACTCTTAGTTGAGCTGGCTGAACCTCTCTCGTTCGTCCTCCGAGTTCCTCTTCTACGTGCGAAGGATACAGTTCCCCTTAATTTGCTCTATTTTATATCTTTTCATCTGCCAAAGTTCGCGGTGAAGGTCGAGGTTTTGTGAGCTTCAGAAGGGTAAGCGTAGTCTTTTAGTTCCCTCAAATTTAACCATCGATCAATCAAACCCTGAACTCTCACTGTAATGAAGCTTTGGTTCGGTCTCATCAAATATTTGGCCCGATTAGAATGACAATTTTGACATGATCCATTCTACATTATTTGTTTAACTTGTTATGAGGCAGGTTAATATCTATTTTGTCAATATTCTCTTCAATCTGATTCGTCATATTCTCAATTCATTTTTTTCGAAAATACATGTAATTGTACTCAAATTACTTAGAATTTCACATTTAGTATCTCTTATTTTAATTATAGTAAAGTTTTAAATAAGAGAGATCCTCAATTTCTCGAATAATTTCACAACATTTATCATGTTATAGTTTGTTTCTTGGTTTTTTCAATAAAAAAAATTAATATTTCTAATGTTCTTTATTTAAATTACATACAAATATACAATCAACCTGCCGAACCACACCTTACAATAAATTACTCAAACTGAGTATTATTAGTAGAGAGATAGTCACCCATTAGCATTCCTAAGCCCAACTGTACCTTAGATTACGGTTGAATCTAACCTAAAAGTCGAGGCGTTAATTAAAGAGTCAATTTCTTATCCCAATCTTAGAAAAAAGTATCGGTCGGTGGAGACAGAGTGGAAGGGGGAAAAAAGGAGCCTAGCAAGGTTGTCAACCCGCCAGCGGGTCGACCCATTTTGACCCTGACCAGGGTGAGAAAAACGGGCGCACGTACCCGTCGGGCCGACCGCTACAAGGTATTGGGTTCGCGGTCAAATTGTGTCATTTTTTTCTTTGGTTTGCGAAATGCGCCTATTTTCCGATTTTTCTTTTCGCCTAGCTCAATTTTTGGAATGCTAAGTTGAACATTTTAATATTTATTGAATTTTCACTATATGTTGGATCTATATACGATATGTTATTTTGGTGTAATATTATATGTTATAATTTATATGTTAGATAAGATTTGGTATAATTTATGAGGATAAGTACAATATAATGACTTTTTCCATATTTCCGGGTCAAACCGGGCTAAAACGGTTGATCCATTAACCCTTGACCCACTAGCTCGACCGGGTCCGAATCAACCCGCGGGTTGACAACCTTGGAGCCTAGTGACTAGTGTAGCGATCCACCCGGCAACCTCTCTCTCTCCCACTAAGTAGTGAAACTGAGCAGCGCAGGCACGGGGATATTTGCTACTGCAGGCAGGGCCAAACAAAATCAACAAAAACAAATGGATGTGGAGCAGAGCAGCAGTGCCAAAATGGAAACAAGGCCCCAGAAACCCATCCCCAAGCCGATGAAACGACGAGCCGAAACAGGACACTATACCGAGTCTGATTGAACAGTAGTAGTAGTGGGTGCGAAAGCTGGCCCTCGTTTTTTATTCATTTCGAATATTATAATAATCATCATAACACTGCCAGTGCCCCACATTTCTTCCCGCTTATATCAATCTCCTGGATGAATCACTAACCAAAACCACCCTCTCTTTTTCCTCCTCCTCTTCTTCTTCTTCTTCTGAGAAAGAAAGAGAGAAATGGTGCAAAGCTTGGCTTCCTCAACGGCCACCTTCATTCTCCTCCTCACTATTGTCCCAATTGCCTGTTCATTCCAAGGACATCCCCAGCCCAGAAACGGCCATTCGATAAGCAGCGACGACCATGACAAGCTTAAGGTACGTACTTGTAATATATCCTGTCTTCTTTCCTAATTTTTCATAGGAAGCCCAAATTAAAGTGACATGGCCAAATTATCACATATATGTGACAGCTGCATGATGATAAGCTGCTGTTTGAGATAACAGTCCACGGGTTTCTGCTGTGGGCTTCGATGGGGTTCTTGGCGCCTGTTGGGATGCTGGCAATCAGATTGTCACACAGAGAGGAATGCGGAACAAGGCTCAAGATTCTTTTCTATCTCCATTCCATTTCACAGGCATGTTCTCTGTTTCGGCACCCTCTTGCTGATTTTACTTGTTAAAATGTAGTGCAAATCGCGCTATAAAAGTTAAAAAAACTAATGTTTTTGGGTCATCAAAACACTTCTGCATAGAATTGCGTTTTTTTTCCGCGCGCTGTTACATTAATTCCCTCATCATCACACGCTCACAATTCATTTCGTCTACTTATTATTAATGAACCTTTTTCCTACCCACTTGCACTTGAAAGGATTAAAGAAAGAACACCTAGAAGGAATCAAGGCTCAAGCTTTTAGTCTGTTGGGTATGGGCTTAATCACCAGTTTGGCTTCCAATGATGGTGGAAATTAAAGAATAAAATTATGATAATAATAATAATATTAAATGGAAAAAGTAAACAAGGGTTTCTGAACTTGGATTCAGTTTATAGATATAGCCCACAGTTTGGTCGTTATTAATCAAAAGTCTTCTTCCTTGAGAGATAAGTAAAGATATGATCCTATATATCCAAACCATATTAGTCTAAAACATCATCATGCCAGTCAGTTGTAGGGCTAGGGCTACCTTTTCCTTTTATTATAAATCTTTTCTTTACCCATAGCAAAATGATGGATTTAGTGGCTAAATCATGTTCATATGTCGACATGCAGATGGTTGCTCTACTTCTTTCCACAGCGGGAGCAGTATTGTCATTCAAGAACTTCACTAACTCCTTCAATAACCATCATCAAAGAATCGGTTTATCCCTGTATGGCATCATATGGCTACAAGCTCTTGTAGGGTTCATAAGGCCTCCAAGGTAAGCCACCACCAAAAATCCTACCATCAAAGTGATCGATAATTGGGACCCTTCCAACAGGAAAAGGTTGGCACTTCATGATATTGGGTGGTTGGAATTGCACATTTGCCTTCAATGTAAGATAGTGATAGTTTATGATAACTAAACTTCTAGATTGCCCCCCATCAAAACAACCATGTTAAGAACCCCCTACTTAGAGAGAGAGAGAGGTTAAGAATAAGAGAATAATTAGGTATGATAATGGGTCAGGTTGCAGCCGTATAGATAGTGCATAGCCATTACCCTATCCAAAACTGTTCGAGTTTTACCTATATCCATATCCATAAAAATTGGGTAAAATATCAAAATCATACTCATACCTAATCATAGGGATGGCAATTTTGCCCAAACCCATGAATATTTTACTATCCAACCCACCATGTATTTGGATTTCATACCCAACAATTGGGTTGGGTATCATTATCAAATCCAAATACATGGTATACCGTATATGGGTAGAGCATGAGTTTATACTATACCCATATTCATTTATATTTGGGTTGGTTGGGTTCTTAATCAATAGATTTTGGTGTTTACCCATACCCATATGCAAATTACAGTTGGTACATAAACTTAATAGATCTCTAGATTTAGTAGCTTTTTTTTTACATATCAGTTCTAAAAATATTGATGAAAAAGTACATTTAGTACCTAAAAATATTTCTGTGTATTAATATTTTGAATTTTAACAAACAGGGCCACTTTTTTATTAAAATAATCTCAAAAAAATGGGTATCCAAATAGTGATGGCAATTTCAACCCGCCCCGTGGGTATTTCCCGACCTGACCCGCGATGGGGCGGGGCATGGGTATCTACTTCCGACCCGCCCTGCCCCGCCCTGTTCTGGACTCATTTTATCTCAATTTCTTACAATATCTATACATATTTCTCCTATTTTGACTTTTCTTCAACTAGTTAGAGTCGATCTTTCAACTTGTTAGGCTCAATTATCCATTCTATTATCAATATTTTTCATTCTTAAAGTGTTTTTCTCTACGTTTTATTGTAAAAAGTAAAATTTACTTGTATTTTTTTTTTCTGAACAACATGTAAGAGTGGGTCGACCCGCCCCGCCCCGTACCCGCGCGGGTTTTACCCGCCCCGACCCGTAGTAGCGTGGGGCGGGGCATGGCAATTGAGGTATCCGCCCCGCTGCCATCACTATATCCAAACCCAACTCATGCCCATTTAGAGTGTGAATCACTATTCACTACCCATGCCAAACCCCATTGGCAAAATCTCAAATCTATATATACTTCACCCATACCCTACCATTAATTAATGGGTTTGCTCGAGTTTGGGTACAATTATCCATAGTTGGGTAATTGTCATCCCTACTCGATCGGATTTCAGATATCTACGGTTAGCCATGAATAATGATTTCTCTTTGTAGTTTCAACTAATATGTTAACAATTTTACATACACTGACACTACATAAGTAGAAAATTGAAACAATAAATTACTAAAATGAAGAAAATTAGTTCAAAACAATATCAGGAATTTTTAAGTAAGATACATACATGCATGTGTATAATCAGAAATATTCAGATTGGATAGTATGGGAAATCATGCCTCACCCATCACCCGCAATATTCAAATTCAAATTTTGCCCATACCCATTAAATTTTTTAGTGATTTGAATTTTACATATCCGATCATGTCGGATTCAGACGAATATGATTATTTTTGTAAAAAAAAAAAAGGTAATCCTTTACTTTTCCACTATACATGCAGGGGGTCAAAGAGAAGGAGCTTGTGGTTTTTGGTCCACTGGATGATTGGAACCACAGTCTGCCTGCTTGGCATCATCAATGTGTACACAGGACTTGTAGCATACCATGAGAAGACATCAAGAAGCATAACAAAATGGATTGTAGCTCTCACAGTTGAAGTTTGCCTGCTGGCTCTCTTGTATCTTTTCCAGGACAAATGGGCTTATATCAGAAAGCAAGGAGTCATTCTGGGAAACGACCCTGCAGTCAGGTCCATTGACAGAGTGGTGGTTTTCCCACAAGACAACAACAAGCACAAGGAGACCCAATCGATTTCCTTGGTACAAGAATCTTTGTAATGTTTTTTTTTTTTACTTTGTTTTGTGATGATGCAAAAATTCTTTCTTTCCCTATTGGAGGAGGTGGAGGTAGCGTGTGGTCTATTATCTAAGTCCAATATGGCGTTGTCTTCCCAACTTTTGTACTCCAATCTCAATAAATCCTAAGATTATTATTATTTTTCTTAAATATCTTAAAAGGATAGGAAGATACGATATAATACAATGGACCTTATTTACAGGGTCAGTCAAAAAACAGAAGAAAGAAAGGGATACTGGTTGACTAGAAGCCGATCGAACGATAAGGGAATTTTTTTTTTTTGCCAGAATATGAGCAGTTTTTCCTTGCTATACCTACGTTGAACTATGATAGTTAAGGGGATAAACTGAACCGATTTGTAGTCCAAATAGTTAGTGATTTTGGACAAGATGAGTGTTTCTAAAAATGGGCACCCTAAGCTTCAAAAATCAGAACAACTAGTTGTGTGTAGAATGTGTACTAGGATAGGTGATCAGGGGAGGGGCTAGTATGCTAACATTTTTTTTTTGTTAGTATGGTGCTAAAACTTGTTTCGGCCATTAAGAATATTTTGTTTTGAGTGCTTTTTTTTAGAAGTTTGACTGACTTTTTAATTTAAACGAGTTGATTACAACTAATGAGAGGGGAAAGGTGTGAAGGGGCACATTTGGCATTATGAGAAATTGAGAGAGAGGAAGAGAAGACCAACGTATTAAAGCATTAAAAATTGGGAAGGAATGGGGGACCACAACCTCACTACACAACAAATTTAAAAAAGCATACAACGCGTTTTTTTAAGCACACCACAAGTTCTATGAAGCAGATCACAAGTCTCATAAAATACATCACAAGTTTTTTATAGTTGATCTATTTGTCAATTTTAAAAAGTTCAACTATCAAAATGTAACAAAAAAATTATAGTTACTAAAATGTAAAATTTTATCAATATTTGGGGACTTATGTGTAAAAAATTAATTTTGAGTACTATATATTAAAATCTATTAAGTTCGGGTATCAATAATTGTCCATGATGAAAACAAATTGTACTTAGCAGCAGGCACAGGCAGATTAGTTGGGCTTAATTGATGCGGTCGAAGTGTTAAGGACGTCTTAAACATTGGGCCTGTTAGGACGGGCCTTTCTCTAGGACGTCTTGTTATGCGTCCGAGAGGCTCCACAAAATGTCCACATAAAGCAAGCACCAGGAGAATTTGGGCAGTGTATTGGGCCTAATTAACGGGTTCCAAACTTCCAATTGAACATGCACTTGCTGGTTGCAGAGGAGCAAGAAGGAAGAAACGAGAAAGGGATGTTAGCTTAATTATAAGACAATAATTGTAGAAAGAAAAGAAAGGGATTCTAAACCGTTGCCATCGTAGAGCGGCCCGGCGTTTACTTTTGCCATCATCAATGCTAAACTACCATTTTTTCCCCACTTGTAAGTTAACGCCCCTTTTCTTCAATGGCAAGAAAGAACCCCAGCGTAGTCCATGAAATCGTACCGTACCGGCGGTTCAACCACAAAATACCAGTATCGGAGGTTAAATCGATAGGCGGTATTTAATGGTACTAATGGTTGAACTACGGCTGAACGACGGTTTTGTCATAAAATACCCTACCGCTGACTTTTCCGGTACGATCTCCAGTACGGTTTCATGGCCCATGCCCCAGCCACGTGTCAGTCATGCAGGCACTCCACTCGACTCTAAATCAAAGACAAGGCTGTCAATTCGGTTCAGCCGCTTTAGTCCGGATATATGAAAAAAGTCTTTAGAATGTTCATACATGTATAAATGATATCAAATCTCATTCAAAAACACTTATATAACATCAATATTCAAGGTAGAATCCCAAAATAGGGTTAGGTGAAGAGAACAACCGAAAAATAGGTGGATTTCGCAAATCAAAAGAAAAAAAGGACACCGTGTGGCCTCCAATCTGGTAAGCGGGTCCACCAGGAGGGTGTGAGCGGCCCCATTTTTCTCACCGGGTCAGGATGGCTTCGATAAATAAAAAAGGGTAGTTAGAAGGCGCTGACAAATCTCTGTAAGGGAGGTAGGCAGACGAAGGCCGATTCCACTTACACTAAGGAAGAACGACAAGTAGCTGTAGGAAGTGACGATGAAAAAAGGCCTCATAAGAGTGACGCATTCTCCACAACCTAGTGATGACAATGAGGCGGGACGAGTACCTCTATACTCATGCTCTGCCCAATGCTATTGCAGGTCGGGGCGAGTAATACCCACACGGGGCAGGTCGACCCACTATATTACTTGTTATTTGGAAAAACATACGCGCAATATTTTACTTTTCACGATAAGACGAAGACAAATACTTCATGAATGAAAAATTGTGATAATATACTTAGTCGAGTCTAATTAGATGCAAAATTAAGTCTAATTAGTTGAAGAAAAGTCGAAATATGAGAAATATGAATAAATATTGTAAGAAACTGAGAGAGAATGGATCAAGAATGGAGCGGGGCAAGGCATGTCGGAAGTAGATACCCATGCGCCAGGCCCCATTCCACGCTACTGCGGGTCATATCAGATAGTACCCAGCGAAGCAGGTTCAAAATGTCATTCCTACCACAACATCACTACATAACCAATAACAAGAAGCAACAACAACCATTTCATCATAACTACGGCTTTTTTTTATTTTCCAATCTCCAACTTTTATTAATTTTTTTTATGTAGTGGATAATAGTTCCGGTTGCTCGCGGGGTGCAAAAGCGATTGGCAAAATCTGAAAGAAAGAGATGCTCTATGAATTTTTCATGGATTTTGATGAGGCTTTTGCCATACTTGAGAGTCGAAAAGTACGAAAATATATTCTTTTTTTTAAAGAAGAATTGGATGTCCATTGATTTGAAACACCATTTGATATTCGAGATTTTAATGTTTGATAATGAGATATATATCAATACCGTACCGATTTCCACATCTAATAATCAGCCTCTGGCTTGCCCACTAAGAAACAATAAATTAATGGGAATCTCCCAAGTCGAAACCAAAACGCCTTGAGATGAGAGTCTCTGCCGGGTCAGCCGGTCCAGCCTCTGGCTTGCCCACAAAGAAACAACAAATTAATGTGAAACACTGTCTGAAACCCCATAGCCCCAGACTACAGAGACGAAACCAAAACGCCGCGTTTTGGCGTCAAAGACCACCTCCCCTCCCCTTGCTTGCTTATCCACTAAGCCAACACACACGAAGCAAAACTTCATATAAAAACCCGGGGAAGTTGCGAGACTCTTCATCAGTTTCACGGTAAAAGCGGCTTACTGGTACGCTTCGGAGAGTGTGCGTCTGTTTAGAGCTCTCCTTAAATACCGTCTTTGCTTCTCCTCTTCGCGATCTCTCTAGGGTTTTCCGAGGGTCTCTTCCAATCCTCTGATCGTGCGCGGCTCACCGGAACGCGTAGCTTTGTTAAAAGCTCTGCAGCTATGGAATCGACTCTCGTGATCAAGGTATAACGCTGTTGTTTCCTTTCCCCCGTCCCTTTCCCGCTGTTCTCTTCTTGCGATTAGGTTTTTGCGTTGTCGATGGGTTTGTTGCGATTTTGGACATGAGGGGGGTATTGTGGCTCGTTTGCTTGCTCGTTATCTGATCATGACTTTCCTGTTTCGTCTTTGATTTTCGTCCTTCGTTGAACGATTTCTCACTCTTACGGTCTTGATCAATCCTCGATGCTTGTATCTTCTTATATTCTGTGCTCAATTTTGCTCGTAAGGTGGGTGATTGCATGCCAATTCTGGTTTCTAGCAGTGGAATTACCTAGTCCTTGTTCTAGCTTTCGATGAATTGACGGTTCCTGAGTTCCGATTGTGCTTCTGAGATGATGACGTAGTGGCTTCGTTTACCACTTTGCAGGTTCGATATGCTGACACATTGAGGCGGTTCAATGCTGTTATTAGGGAGGATGGACAACTGGCCCTTAACTTGGAGGGTCTCAGGGCTAAGGTCCTTGGTCTTTTTAACTTCCCTCCCGATGCAGTGATCGGGCTGACCTACGTCGATGAAGATGGGGATGTTGTGACCCTTGTTGATGACTCCGATCTGCAAGACGTAACCAGGCAAAACCTCAAGTTCTTGAGGGTGGATGTCAGTCTCAAGACCGAGAAAGATGCTACTTCTTATGCCGCTTCTAGCTGCAGTTCTACGCCGTTGAGATCTCCTGCAACCGAGAGGCCATCAACACCTAATGTTGGGGGCAGTGTTGCTGATGTGCTCAAGACTCTGCAACCTGCTCTGTCTGCTCTACCTCCAACGGTTGCTGAAGCTGTCGCAAAATTTTCAACTGATTTTGCTTCGAAGGCTGCTGCCTCTGGTGCCCAGTTCAAAATTGATGTGAAGGAAGTGTCGAAATCAGCCCAGCAACCTCTGTATGAAGCACTATCGAAGATGTCTCTGGACCTGGCTTCTAATGCCGGTTCTTCTTCTGCTCCTGTGCTGACTGATCTTGTTGACAGCTTGTCAAAGATCGGGCTTTCCTACATCAGTACTCCTCAGGAGCCTAAGACTAATGCAACACCTCAAACCAAGGATGCAGGTGTTCCAACTGCACCATCTGCGGTTCCAGATGCTTCCCGTGGTGGTGGCATGCAAGAAGACTTGGCTGAATCCAGTGCCAGGACACGTGGTGTGTCAAGGCCATCAAAGCCTGTTTCTTCTGCTCCTGTTGATCTGAATCGGGACCCGCCTATTGATTCTTCTCCATTAGTAGAGAGTTCTTCACAAAACAAGGCAGCTGAGAAGAAAGCGAAAGAACCAAGTGCTGGGGTTCACGTTCCTACTGATACAGTGAATCCTTGGGGCAGTTCATGCCCATTTAGTGGGGTGGGGCTGTTTGACAGCTCTTACACACTACCTCATCCTCTGCCTCCCCATTTCAAACCATTTAAACCGTTTAAGAGGAGCCACAGCCGCAGTGATGGCATGGTTGGCTTGTTCCACCGCGGTGTTCAATGTGATGGCTGCGGTATACATCCCATTGCTGGACCTCGTTACAAATCAACTGTGTAGGTTTTCTGATTCCATCATCATGGTATGGAGATTATATATTTCTTTTTCATTTTGGCTCTATATTAAATTGTTGATATCCTTTGTGCAGAAAGGAAAATTATGACTTGTGCTGCATGTGCTTTGCTCAAATGGGTAACGAAACTGACTATGTCAAGATGGATAAGCCCGCGACTTATCGTCATTCACGGTCTTTCAGAGGCTCGAATTGTCCTGTAAGTTAATTTATATGCTGATATACATTCTGCCGCAATTTTCCTTTCTCTAACTCATTCATTTATCTATTTCTCAAGGCTTCTGCTTGGACGTGCCCCGTACCACTTGTCAGGCCTATAACAAAACAAGGTGGATCTGTTCAGCCTAGGCTAGACAGTCGCTTTGTTTTAGATGTGAATGTAGTGGATGGTACTGTACTGGCTCCATCTACTCCATTTACAAAAATCTGGCGACTGCGCAACAATGGTAATCTTGTGTGGCCCAAGGGTACTCAGCTTGTGTGGATTGGAGGAGACAGATTCAACCAGACTGATTCATCTGAGCTAGAGGTGAGCATCTGCATGGCTTTGCTTGCTGCTGAACTTCATTGTCTGTTTTCTTCTGATTCTGATGCTCAACATTTCAACTTGCCAGATTGCTGCAAATGGTCTTCCCGTGGATGAAGAACTTGATGTTGCTATTGACTTTACTTCTCCTGCAAAACCTGGTCGATACATCTCATACTGGAGACTGGTTTCACCATCTGGCACCAAATTTGGTCAGCGCATCTGGGTTCTTATCCATGTATGTCAGCTCCAGTTTTGGTTATACTTATGGATCATGGAATTTCATTTCATCAGCTTTGGTTTGCTCTTTTCTTGTAGTAGATTATGATTTGATGTGGTTATTCATTCTTGCCAGGTGGATGCTTCCCTGAAGGTTGCTTCTGGCACAAGTCTCCAGGGTTTCAACCTCAATTTACCCCCTGTTTCTGTTGCTGCCTCTGATTCCCCTCAAACTGTAGTAGATGCGACTAATAAGCCTGCTGGTTCAGCCGTACCCTCAGAGGTGACTGCGACACACATCTTCGATCAGCTGGCCAAGTCAGAGCAGGAGAAGAATTTCCCTGTTAATGATGCCTTGCTTGTAGGGAATCGCCCCTCACCCTCGGAGACCAAGTCGAGCAGCTCTTATTTGCCCTACCCTATGATAGACCTGTCTGATGCAGCAGCCGGCCCCTCTTCTAGCATCGGCAAACCAAGTGCTCCTGCCGCGATAGGAATGCCCAAACCAACTGCAGAACAAGAAGACAAGAATGTGGAGGATGCCGTTGAGGAGAGCCTTCTGAAGGAGCTGGAGGAAATGGGGTTCAAGCAGGTGAATCTGAACAAGGAGATATTGAGGATGAACGAGTATGACCTGGACCAGTCGCTGGACGATCTCTGTGGTGTTGCTGAGTGGGACCCGATTCTTGAGGAGCTGAAAGAGATGGTAAGTCGCGTGCTTGACTGATAAAAAAAATTCCGACCTCCTCGGAAGGCCCTTAATCCTTGTTAGTTGTTAAGGAAGTGTGTGCTGACATACAACTGGGAATTATGGTTGTGCAGGGTTTCTGTGACAATGAAGTGAACAAGAAGCTGCTGAAGAAGAACAATGGGAGCATCAAGCGTGTGGTGATGGACCTCCTCACTGGCGAGAAGGCCTAGCCGCGGGCTGGAGACTCGGTTTCTGAGTTTTTTAAGTGTTCTCTATGAAAAGTAGCATATAAATAAGTGGGGGTTATCTTATGTCGTTGGAACATCTTCCGTAGCTCTGGTTTTCGGCTTTTCGCTGTTTGCTAATAGCTCTAAAACTTCTGGTCCTGTAGTTCTCTGTGTTTGAACTTTCGGTTTATATGAATAAATGGCTGGGGACTTAAGTTCCCCTGCTATGTTTATAGATTATATGAATGGTGTTTTTTCGTCGAATACTTATCGAATTCGCAGATGGTAATAGAGGTCGGTATGGAATGAAAACTGCGAACCAAATGTATCGAGCAAAGATTACAAGATAAAGCAACTGGCAGCCATCACTGGCAACTCAACTCTCTAAAGAGCAGAAACAACTTGTTCATTCAAAAATTCACCATCTGAACTTAATACGCTGCTGACATTCTTAAGCACAAAAAGAAAAGGTAGAACAAAGGTACGGTGTATAGTCGGTTTTCTTGCCTGCTTCCTCAACCAGTTTCTTGCTCAAACTCTTCGCCTTCAGATTCGTCTGCATTGTCAGCATCGTCATCATCCGGATCATTATCATCCTCATCTTTATCATTGTCGACCGTTGTCTTCCCAATCACTATCAAGTTGCTGTTAGTCTTCTGGATCTCATTCAACTGCAGCAACCATGGAAATATGATCGCTTGAACATTCAACTTAATTCACTGACTGCTTGACAATGAATTTAATCACTTCGATTGAAGCTAATTACGGCTCGAGATCATGGGGAAAAGAGATAATCGTGCAAATTCGCGCCCCTTCTTGGCTCGAATTGAACCGGCTGTTCGCAAACTAGGTTACGGACAATTACCGGCAATATCGACATTTTATCGCGACTAGGGTTCGAGGCCAGCAGGGGCAGTGTTGTTACCTGCTCCTCGTAAACGTCCTCTTCCATGGCGAGAAGCTGTTCCGGAGTGTGGGTTTGAGCGGGAGGCTGCGATGACATGAGGAAGGACGACGGCACTGTCCTCGTCGACCATGGGTACTGCGTCATGAACGCCGGAGTCTGCAACATTTTTTTTCGCCGGCGTCGGTAGATTTTTTTTTTTTTTTTGGCAATAACGACTCTATCTGCCTGCTGCGATTCCGCTTTCAACTTTGTAAACAAATTCTTGTGGGAGAACGTTCTGGTTCTGGCTGTAAATTTCGTGATTGGGCCCATAAAGTCGTTGGGCTCTAGAATTTTATGGGCTCAATTTGCCGGATAGATCTGTACAACATGCAGCCTATAATATTTTAAAATTTTAATAATTTTATTAGGTAATAGTTGAATAATTTAACTCTGGACGTTCAGATTTGGATATAACGGTTTTTAGTGGAAAGCAAGAAGAACACTTAACTCCGGAGGTTTTCTTTTTGCTTTTCTAGCTCGCTGACGAATCCAACCGCCTCTCCAATATTCTTCCCTCTCTCTCCCCTTCCCTTCGTCTTCCCTCAACTCCGGCTGGAACCCAGGTGTCGCCTTCTTCCTCTCTCCACGTTGCCTCCCTATGGCCAACTCCTCCCATCCCGCCATCTACTTCTTCAAACTCGACTCCTCCTTTTCCACCTTCCTCTACACCACCACCAATTTCCTCCTCCACCGCCGCTGCAAATTCCGATTGCTATAAAAAAAAGCTCAATTGACAACATGAACTTATACGTTTACGTTCTGGAAGCCAGGGATTTGCCGGTGAAGGACGCCTTCGTCGTGAAGCTCCGGGTCGGGAAGCGCAAGTCCAAGACCCGGGTCCTCAGAAACACAGCTAACCCGGTTTGGAACGAGGAGTTCATTTTCCCTATTCACGCCCATGACGATGAGAACTTGCTGGTCTCCGTCTTCACCCATCACGATGGTGCCGGGTTGTTCGGTGCCGGGTCGGGGGATTTGGTCGGCCGGGTCTCAGTTCCGGTTGGCTCGGTTGCCGGAGAGCCTAATCAGACGCTGCCTCCTACTTGGTTCTCACTCGAATCCCCATCTGCCGGCAAGCATGTTCATCTTGATTCCGGTTAGTCTTCCTCCTCTAGTCTCTAGTTAATTCGCAGTTCAGAGCTATTAGACTGTTAGACACATTCTAGGATTTGCTGGTGGAATGGTGAATTTACCCTGAATCGCTTAATGTGACAACTTCGATGCATATGCGCAGGCAAAATTCTTCTGTCTATGTGTGTGAATGATGAAACCCATGATTCCCCTAGCAAGCACTTCCTTTCCTCTGATGAGGATGTGAAAGAACTTGAAACCCATTTGGGGTCAGGTCATGGCACACATTGCTCCAAAGCTCAGCATCACAAGATATCAGGTGGTAAGAAGTTAATGAAAGCCATTGCTCATAGTCTGGAAAAGGTTTTCTCGAAGCATGAAGAAGAAGGCTCTCCTAGTCCTAGGCCAGATCATGAATCCTCCGAGTTAAACAGTGCTTCGGATTACCAGGATTGCACCGATGATGAACACCATCCATCAGCTGTTACATTTGAAGAGGGTCTTTACATGATGGACTCGATGGAAGAGAAACAGGACATGCCTGATAACTTACAGGGAGGTGTGCTCATAGACCAGAAGTATTTACTATCTTCTGGTGAGCTCAATAGGTTTCTTTTCGAGCCTGGTTCGCAGTTTAGAAAGAATCTTGCAGAGTTGCAGGGAACACAAGATGTGGAAGAGGGACCATGGACTTGGAAATCTGTTGGTCTCACTCGTACGGTTACTTACATTAAAGCTGCGACGAAGTTGGTGAAGGCTGTGAGGGCCACGGAGGAGCAATCCTATGTGAGAGTCCATGGTCCAGAATTTGCTGTGCGTGTTAGTGTAATCACGCCAGATGTTCCATATGGTAACACGTTCAGTGTTGAGTTACTGTACAAGATGCTGCCTGGACCGAAGTTATCTTTAGAAGAGGAGTCTTCTTGTCAACTTATCATTTCATGGGGAGTTACGTTTCACCACAGTACCATGATGAAAGGGGTGATTGAAGGCGGAGTTAAACAGGGGTTGAAGGATAGTTTTGATCAGTTTGAGAATCTGTTAGGCCAGCATCTCAAGGTGATGGATTCAGCGAGTTCATTATCAGACAAGGAGCATATGCTTGCAAGTTTGGGGGCCGAACATGAGTCGGATTGGGAGTTAGCATGGCAGTACTTCTGCAATTTTACAGTTGTTTCCACTTTTGTTATGGTTCTTTATGTTTTGGTGCATATATTATTATGCGAGCCTAGCAAAGTTCAAGGACTCGAACTTTATGGACTTGATTTGCCGGATAGCTTTGGACAACTTGTTAGCTGTGCTATCTTGTTCATCCAGGTGGAACGTGTTTACAATATGGCTGCTCATTTCATCGGGACAAGGTTGCATAGAGGTAAACATCTTTGTCAATGTTGGGACTCTCTCTAGAGGTTTAGTACTGCGAAAGATAATACAAATTTGTATTTTGGTTTGCAGGTAGTGATCATGGCATTAAAGCACAAGGTGATGGGTGGGTTCTTACTGTTGCATTGATTGAAGGGACCAATTTGGCATCAATTGGTTCAACAGGTCTTTGTGATCCCTATGCGGTGCTAACTTGCAATGGAAGAACAAGAACAAGCTCCATCAAGCTTCAAACTAGTGACCCCCAGTGGAACGGTACGACATTTACTAACCTAACGTTTGTGCATTCTCTCCAGTCGTTGCATTGAAGATATGAATTTATGTGTGTTAAAGCTATTTGAAGAAAAAATGCAGACATACTTGAGTTTGATGCCATGGACGAACCGCCTTCAGTTCTAGACGTTGAAGTTTTTGATTTTGACGGTCCATTTGACCAGGCCACATCACTTGGGCATACTGAAATCAACTTTTTGAAGCACACAGCCACTGAGTTGGCAGATATATGGGTGTCACTCGAGGGAAAGCTTGCTCAATCATCTCAATCGAAGTTACATTTGAGAATATTTCTAGACAACAACAACGGCGTCGAGACCATCAAAGATTATTTGACCAAGATGGAAAGGGAGGTCGGGAAGAAGGTAAACCAATTCTGCTTGCTTGGTATATAATCGCCAATGAGAACTGGTCGCTTGCTTGAATAAAGGTCATGATTTATCCGTCAGTCCGTGCACATGTCAATCTGTACTTTTTGCCCAAATATATCTGATTTAGTTCTCTTTAATGTGGCAGTTGAACTTAAGATCACCTCACAAGAACTCAGCATTCCAAAAGCTTTTCGGGTTGCCACCAGAAGAATTCCTCATAAGTGACTTTACATGTCAACTAAAGAGAAAAATACCCTTGCAGGTGTGCACATTTACTTTCCTTTTTTCCTTTAAATGTGCATTTTTTACGAATCCGTTGTTACCAAGTTGCAGAGTTGATGTTTGGAGGAAAAAAAAAGTTTCAGATTGTTGCTTTGTGTTCATTTTTTGGTAAGTAGGATTGACTATGGCCAGAAATAGCATTGATACAAAATCTCTCTTTTTCTGTGCAGGGCAAGCTCTTCTTATCTGCAAGGATTTTAGGGTTTTATGCCAACTTGTTTGGTCACAAAACCAAGTTTTTCTTCCTTTGGGAGGATATTGATGACATCCAAGTACTCCCTCCAACTCTTTCATCCGTAGGCAGCCCTATGCTGCTCATAGTTCTGCGGAAGGACAAAGGAGTTGAAGCAAGGCACTGGGCCAAGTCCCAAGATGAACAGGGGAGGCTGGAGTTCTGCTTTCAATCATTTGGCTCATTCGGTTTGGCCAGCAGGTAAGCCAGCCTGACATACATTGTTGTTATCCATCACAGCTCTTCCATTAATTTTGCCTGATTTGGCATTGTTAACCAAAACAATTAGGACGATTACGGCTTTGTGGAGAACAAGAACACTGACCCCTGAGCAGAAAGCACAAATAGCTGAGGAACAAGAGCTTGGACACGAAGGTGACAGACCTGTTATGGTTGAGGACTCCATACCCATTATGGATGTTTTTGAAGATACCAAAATGTCAAAGATCTACTCTGAAGAGCTTCCGATTTGTGTGAGCAGCAGTCACTCTACTGTTATATTCTATTAAGCATCCAAGTCATTTGCTCTTTGTATAGATTCAAAAACCTTTTGGATGATGGTGGGCAGATAAAGGAGCTCATGGAGATGTTTGAAGGAGGGAAGATGGAGCACAGAATCATGGGGAAATCAGGATTGCTCAATTATGCAACCACCCCTTGGGAAACCATGAAGCCGGGTGTCCAAGAGAGGCATGTCAGTTACAAATTCAACCGCCAAGTGTCCATCTTTGAAGGGGAGGTCAGTTGCACCCAACAGAGATCGACCATGGCAGATGGCAGCGGTGAAGGGTGGACTGTGAATGAGGTCATGGTGCTTCATGACGTCCCATTTAGTGACCACTTTCATGTAATAATAGAATCATATGCTGCTACTATCATCATCACCATGACTCTGCTATGCTGTTGTTTCTCAAGTTATCTGATTGATGATTCTTCTCTTGATGGTTCGTGGGCGTTGCAGGTGAACTTGAGGTATCAGATTGAAAAATCTGGACTTGCACACAATGCATGCAAGTGTGACGTTTACGTCGGGATCACGTGGCTGAAAGCGACCAAGTTCCAGCAGAGGATCACCAGCAACATAACCGACAAGTTCTCCCAGAGGATGAGGGAGATCTTTGAGCTGGTTGAGAGAGAGATTCTTTTCGGGATTCAACACGATTCTCCTCCACTTTGACCGACTCGGCCACTATCTCTAGAGCAGTTGAAAATTGAAATGTTGTATATGCACTCTTTACTAAGGTATCCTTTATGTTTCCATTTAGATCGGCAAGTTCAGATAAAATTATGCTGTTTGTTAAAGCTCGGAAATGTGTTGATAGTCTCACAAGTAGTGGTACTGTTGTCTCTGGAACAGGATGGTCAGACATAAAACCCCTTTATTATTACTTCGTTTTTCTTCATTGTAACACCATTTTTAGGAGTTTACTCTTGAATGTAACAACAGTGCAGTACACCATGTGTATGTACTTTACTCCTGTGACTGTGAGTTAATTAGTGTGGACTTCCCTTGCAGGAGGGGAATGAATGGATGGACTAAGGTATTGTGGCTGCACCAGTCGTCTCTGTTGACAAATAACTTGAAGCGTACAGCCTCTCTTTGGCCTTCTTTACCTGTAAGGTCCAGAATGGGGAAAAAAAGGACGGACCCAAGGAAATGTTCAGGACAAAAACAATACCAGCAGCATTCAAGCAGAGCAGAGAATTGACTGAAAGGCAAGGAAGTATATGATAAAAATATGGGTAATGAGTACTTGTTTTCCCCAGTTTGTGTTCATGGTAATGGCGAATAGCAGACAGGCTTGTAAAGAACTCCCGCAGATAATACCCATCCACAAACCCTGCACATTTAGAAGCATGTCTCAGCAGAAATAAGACGAATTGTGGAACCATGGTTTTGTATCTGCATTACAGTACTGTACCATTCCGCGGAAACCGAAAACGAAGGCCAAAACCATGGCTGCAGGGAGGCCGGCCAGGTAGTAAGCTCCCAGGTTAACATAAGTTCCGATCACCTGCCACCCGCACCCTCTCGCAACACCTGTCCGAAACCCATTTGTTAGCAGACAACAGCTAGCTAGCTGGTTAATGGGTGATCAGAAACGTGCATATATGAGACCTGAGAAAACGGCCTGCATTGCGTCCATGAAGTTGGAGAGGGCGAGTACAGGGATGACTCTGGCCATGTAGGCGGCCAACTGTTGGTCGTTGGTGTAGAGGAAACCCCAGACGTCGCGCACCGAGATCAGAATGAGGCTGAGGCAGAGGCCCTGCGCCATTGACAGGAAAGTTCCCGCCCTCACCGCCACCAGAGCCGCGTTCTGCCGCCCAGCACCCAGCTCATTTGACACCCTGGTGCTGCAGAAAAGAGAGAAATGTTCTTTATCATGAACAAGGAGAGGAAACGAAAAGATGAAAAAGAATGAATGGCTCAATTATTTGCTTTACCTGACTGCACTGCCGAGTCCGAAGGAAATCCTGAATGCTACCGACGTCGTGCTTATGCTGAGGGACATCATGGACGTTTCGAGCATGGGATTGGGGAGGAGTCCCGACATGAACACTAGAAACTCGTACGACCACAACTCCAGGCTGCATCTAGTGTCAAATTTTGAACCAATGAGAGCATGCTGGATAAAAAATAAATTCACCCCGATAAAAAAAGTCATCTCTCTAAGCAAGTTCAAATCCCTTTTGTAGGCAGTTTTAATAGGGTTGAAAATTGGTCCGACTCTGATCCTGTCCGACCCGCTCAGAAGGGTCAACTTATATAACTTACCTATTCCACCCCTGTTTCCTTCTTGATCATGTCTGACCCTCAATGATCGGTGCATGCCAAATCGGTGGTTGGAACTAATTTTTTGAAATACACCATTTCGGCACCCAAACTTATTTTTTTTCTTGTCTTATTCAAGTATTCACTACTTAGAAGTATTAGATTCTCTTTTGGATAGACCCTGAAAGGAGAAGTAAGGCTGGAATACCAACTGATCTCTATGAATGGGTAAGTCGCCAAAGTTTTTTTTTTTTGGCAGAAAGATCCATATATTTTAGCGGTAAAATTTGGATTAGGTATCTTTATATTTGTTACATTGCATTATAGTACCTAAACTTTAAAACTTTGCCAACAGTTTCAATGTGTGTGTTGGTAGATTTTTCATATCAATAATTGTTGCAATGGGTCACAAGGTCAAAAAGTGACCCACCCCGATGTTAACCTGATCCTACCCAATTCTTACACGATCAAAGATAACCCGATCCTAAACTGACCTAACTCGACTCTCAGATACTCAGAGTCGGATAAATCGAGAGATATCAATAGCTCTTTAGGATCAAATTTTAGCATCTAACTATACTATAAAAATCATCCCAAGTAAGTAGAGTCTTAATCCTTACCAGACCATGAGAGCAGAGGGGACACCAAGCCTGAGAAACCCACAAAGACCCCTAACGCCATCCCAGGAGAAGCCAGTCCACGTCATCCGACAACTAGGCGAGAACCCAATATACACCCCCAAAACGACGACGTTGACCCAGTACGACACCGCAACAGAAAGCGCGGCCCCTTCGTTGCCGAACCCGAGCCGGAAAATGAGGGCCCAGCAGAGGCCCACGTGGAAGACGGTGGCGAGGCCCGTGCTGAGGATCAAGGGGGAGACCAGGTTCTGGGCCTGCAGGAACCTGAGCTGGCACTGGAGGAAGCCGTAAGGCAAAATGCTGGGGATGAGGAAGCGGGCGTAGAGGCCGGCCCCGCGCGAGATCTGCGGGTCCTGGCCCAGGAAGAGGAAGATCCGCGCGGTATAGGCCCACAGGAGAGAGATCGGGACGGAGAGGATTGTCGTTATTATGAGGGCTCGCTGGAGATGGAGGCCCAGGAGGTGGTGGTGTTGGGCCGATCCGTAGGCCTGTCCGCATAGTGTCTCCAGCGCGCCGCCCATCCCCATCTGCATGCATGGGTTCGTCAGTCAGTGGAAAACAATATTTTTTTTTTTTGTAATGTTTTGTTTATCGATTATTGTTATGCCATGTCAGCTGTCAAGGATTGGATGATTCCAGAGACTCAGAGAATCGAATAATACAGTAAGTTATGGGTATTATTATTATTATATATATTATGTGCCGCCAATCGACCCTCTCTAATTTGGTACGTACATGTACCATTGTTATATACTAATTTGAAAATTTGGTTAATTTTGAAAGCTTCAATATTTATAATAGGAAATCCAAGCTGGAATTCCAGGTTGAAACAACTCGATTGTGTCAAATATTGAAACAAGCATTATGTCTCAAAGAAATCAAGATCAGGTTGGGTTGTGTAAAAATAGTTATGTGTATCTAGCTCGGATTTACTAATGTTAAGATCACACATAATATTTTATATAGTAATTAAATCAAAACCGAACTCACATTTTATTGAATAATAAAGGGTATCTATATTTATTATTATTTTTATATTGATCACTAAATTTAAATTTAATTTATAGCTAGTTACATATATAACCATTTCAAATTTATGTACATTGAACAAGTAAAAAAGTATGTAGTTGAAACAATATAAGTAAAAAAAAAAAAAAAGATTACGGAAAAGAAACTAAGAAAGTGACCAACTCATGTTCATAACTTCATAATGTTAAATGTATATTCTCCATAGCAATATGTGCCTAGAAAAAGGTAATTATTTACAAAGAAAGTCTATAAATTCGGCAAATTAATTTATATCGACGGGTCCGAGGATAATATAATGAAAAACAATTCATCGTCCATCTGCTATAAAAACCACTATTCAAATTTAGATCAAAATATATTCAAACCTGTTTGGTATCAATTCAATTCACATTTTATCCCACATCATTAGATCAGAGACAAGAACAGAGTGTGAACGGGATATTTTTGCCATCGTTAATAATATAGTCACGGTTAATAAATAATTAGCACCTGTCTTTAACATCAACTTACTTTAAACTTTGTTGCAGAATACAGTCATTCATATATTTTTTTATGCACCTAAAAGCTGGAGTAAAAAAAGGAGAGTGGTTTCACTTTCAGAAAGACAAGTCCAAAAGGGAGAGCGACCCTTTAATTCGTTTGTCTGTTTGTTTGGACTAGGTTTATTTAATAAAACTGTCTTGCCATAAAACACAAAGACGGTTATACATCGTGTCTCAAAGTGATGAAATCAAATAATGCATGCAGCTAGCTTCTTCTAATTTAAAGATGCAAACAAAAGGGCACCTAAATCTATCGTGGTTCCAAGTAATTCATAAAATAAAGCTACACGCCATCTATGCAGTTGAAACGGAAGAGAGAGCGAAAAAAGATTAGAGATACGTTACGTTGATTGACAATTTACCATGAAGCCAAATCCGGTGACTCCGGCGAAGGAAGTCGCCATGGAAGCGGAGGAGAGAGCGAGCTGACCCAGCCGTCCGACGAACATGACCGATATCAGCTGCAAGCTGTACTGCAGGAAGCTCACCACCACCAACGGCCCGGCCACCTTCATCTGCCTCTTCAGCTCCCGCACCAGCTCTGCTTGCCACGTCGTGGTGGTGGTGGTCGTCGTGTCGTCATCGTCCTGATCAGGACGATGACGACGATCTTCGACGAGTAGAGGAGTTTCCAGCTGCTGTTCCTCATGGATCGATTTCGACGAGTCGCTCATCGTGATTCCTTAGCGATTGATTTATTTTTTTTTAGATAACGACGATTGATGTGCTACTCAAGAATTTTATGCACCAACTGGTTGATGGTCGCGAGAGAAAGAAAGAGTGTTGAGTAGCTTGGTTGGCGTGGGCTGTCTGAGGCGTTTGGTGTGTGGGTGGAGGTATATATAATGTGATGTGAGTGTGGGCTTGGGTTGGCGTGGCGTGGGCTAGGTAGGAGTGGTGAACTTTTATGCGCGCTTCTATTAGTATAAGAAGTTGGAAGATATTACTGCCATCTCGGTTTGCGTGGAGGGAGACGTATATGTTGTTGTTATTAGGGCTGGCAATTTGGTACCGGACTGTTTGGTTTTACCCGAAATCGGATCGGAATCGGACTGGGATCGGATAGCAAACAATCCAATCTCATATTCGGGTTTAGATTTGAGGTAAAAAATACCCGGATAAGAGACCCCAACACTCAAATCCCCACAAGCTCAATCTAAAATCAAAATCAAATTGGGACGGAACCGGGTCAAGACCGGAGTGTATCCAATCCAATCTTTGGTCCTTATATTCCTGAAAAGATCGGACTGGACCGGATTAGTTTGGTCCAATTTAACCGAACCGGACCGTATAGTCACCTCTAGTTGCTATTATTATAATTATGAAAACCAAAGTAATTTTCCTTAAAAATTAAAGTCTATTAATCGATGATTTGGGTTAATTTTTTTCGTGTCCAAATTTGCTAGATTCCAAAGGGGTACCGTACCATTATAGCTTTTAAGTGATTTATCGAAAAACTATTTTTCTTAAATTTTGATAGCTACTGATTACGGATTCGGCCTGAGGCTATTTTCCATCAATGATGAAGTATGTTATTAATTGACGATTGAGCGAATTTTTTTCGGGTCCATTTTCGCCAGATTTCAAAGGGGCACCACCACAGATTTCAGGCGGTTTTTAAGAAATGACATTTTCCATGGATTTTGAACGCTACCGATTACGGATTCGGCCTGAGGCTGTTCTCCAGCGATGATGAAGTCTATTAATCAACGATTTGGGCGAATTTATTCCGAGTCCATTTTCGCCATATTCCAAAGGGGTACGCCATCTCATATTTCTGCAGTTTCTTTGAAAGGTCATTTTCCATGGATTTTGAAGGCTACTGATCACTGATTCAACATCAAGCTATTTTCTACCCATGGTGAAGTCTATTAATTGAGGATTGTGGCAGATTTTTCCCATGTCCATTTTCACCAGATTCCAAAGGGGTACCATCATAGATTTTGGGCAATTTTTTGGAAATTATATTTTCCTTTGGTTTCGAAGGCTATAGATCATGGATTCTGATTGAGACTATTCCCCAGTCCATTTTTATTAGATTCCAAAGGGTATCATCACAAATTTCGGGTGATTTTTTTGAAAAACCATTTTTCTTGGATTTTGAAGGCTACTGATCACGTACAGGACATGAGATTATTGTCCACTGATGATAAAGTCTGTTAATCACTTGTTTTTGCATCTAATTTGTATTGTATTTTATCCTCCTTGTCGCAACCGTCCCTCCGGGGGGTCCGAATGTCGTCGCGTCGGCTGTTTTGGGAGTCGCCATCGATCTTACTAGGAGTGGATCGAACACTCGTCGGTTGGCTCTGACCTTAGGGTCAGAACCGAGATATGGTCTGCGAAAATAAAGTTCTGGGTTCGGGAGTACAGTTACGTGTGGGGAAGTGAAATCACACCCCACAACGCCCTAAATCGGTACTACTTAAGTCGATAAGTTTTATTGAGTTGGGTGTGTTTTTAGTAACAATTTTGTATTTTTAGGGTCCCACTGGACCATTAAATAATTTTATCGTAATATTTGTAATTTAACTATACGCCCACTGACGTACAATTTAAAGATAAAGTTAATTGGTTAGTTGGACTCGAACCTTAACGGTTGCCTACGTACCCGTTAGACGGGATCAAAGTCCACGTAGTTCGTTGGAACTTTGATAACTTAATTATAATCAGTAATCACATTCCACTGATCGTGATTTTCGTACTATAATTTTGTTAATAGAATTTTAAATTGATTATTGCAAGGATCTTAGTTATTAGGAGGTATTTTGATGTATTAGAAAAAGAAGCAAGGTAAACTTAATTCGTATTCAACATTTCGTATTAAGGATTTTAAATGAATAAAATTAAACAGGATGGTTAGATTAACACATTATGGGCCAGCAGCCCAACTGACTAAAGCGCTTGGCCTTAATGCGCGAGGACCCGAGTTCGAAACTCGGCCATCATCGGCTTTGGTTGTTTTTATTTTAACACAGAGACAGAACGAGGGTATGGTGGTAAATTCACGAAAACGCGGTGGCAAGGGGGTGTAAATACGCCGTAACCCTAGGGGCATTTTGGTCGTTTCAATAGGTTAGGTATATATACCTCTCTACAAACCCTAACACTCTGTTTGGGAAGAGGGGTAAATAGGAGGAGGGTGCAAATGTGAGGGGTAAATACAGTTTCCAACACATTTGCACATGTTTGGTTAATTTGGAACAGTAGGGGGGTGCAAAACGGGAGTGCAAATTTACTGTTTCGGCTTACCCCCCAAATTGGGGTGCAAGGGAAGGAAGGAAGAGAGGGGGAGGGGGAATTATGGAATTTTGTTTTTCTAATTGTGTTATATATAATTATATAATAATTAATATTATCAATTTCTTTTTTTTATAAATATCATTAATGTAAACATTATTCGGGGTTGACCATTTGACTCTAGAAACAAGTTTATTCGTCAAGTCAAATCTAAATCTCTTGGTTGAATCGAATTTGCATTGAAAATTAGAGATACGAGGTGTTTGTGGAAAAGATAGAGAGAAATTGTTTGGTTAACTCAGTTTATTTGACTAAATAGTTAAAACTTACAAATTCGAACGTGTTTGACTAAGTTTGACAATTTAAGATTAAACTAGACACGAAAACCCTATATAGGATGACCAGTTACAAGTTGAGCTTCGAGTTTTGAGATCGCTCGATCAATGATTATACAATTGTCATAATTAATTATTATTTGAGCATTATTATATAATAACTATTTTTAGTAAAGTATATTTATTATTATATAGTAATATTTATTTTATTATTTTATGATAATATTTTAAAATTTTAAAATCTATTTTGTAATCTTAAAATCTATTTTTAAAATCTATTTTAAAATAATATAATTACTTACTTTTCACTCTATTTGCACCCCCCTACTTTTTCATCCAAACAACAATTTACCCCTCCACTTACACCCCCCAACAATTTGCAACCCCCAGCAATTTACCCCTCAACTTGCACCCTCTTGCAATTTGCACCCCCAGCAATAAACCAAACAGCCGCCGCCTCACACTTTCATCTCTCGCCTCTCGTCTCACTCTCTGTCGTCGCACCCCCCTCCTCTTCCAGAGAACAAATAAACGAAATCCTAGCCGAACCGAAACCCTAATCCTAGAGATCAACGGCGGCCGCTAGCCTACTCTTTTACCACAATCGCCGCCATCTCTCTTCTTTCCTCTCTCCCTCGCGTTCTCCCTCTCTAATCCGAGAAAGGGAAACCGACGACCTAGCTCTCTCTCCTCTGCGCCGCCGCCTTCTCTTTTAAGCGTCTGGCCGAGGGAATCGCTCGTATCAACCTAGAAGGTCTCGATCTAGGTAAGATCCTAGACATGCATGTCCGTTTTTAGTTGGTTTCTGCACTCGATTTTGAGTTTAACTCGTTTTAGTTTTTCTTGTGGTGGACGAGGGGAAGAGATCTGAGGGGGCGATGGTGGCTTGACCTCCCCGGCGTGGATATGCTAAAGCCGCCGATGAGGAACTCTAGGTAAACCTTTTTTGTTTATTCTGGTCTATTGGTCTATTTTTGTTTGGTTCTGATTTTTATTATTTGGGTATTTTTGTGGAGGTGGGACAAAGAAAGAATCGGCCGCCACCAGACCGAGCTTCACCGGTGACCAGAATTGACAGGGGAGTTTTTTTTCTTTAAGTTATTTCTTGTTCTTGATCTAAGTCTGATTTTTGGCTGGTTCTGACTTCTATTCGTTTTGGTGCAGGATATGGGAGTGGACCGATCTGGGTAAGGTTGTCCTAAACTCGGGTTAATTTGGTTAGGAATTTTTAACTTTGAATTTGAGATTATTTATGGTGAATTTGAACTACTCTACAAATTTGGATTCTGGTAAATATGATTATATGTATTCCTGGTCTAGGATAAAATCTAGGAACTGTGGACGTCACCCATGAATCACTTTGATTTTTATACTAAAAAATGCAACTAAACCTGTTTTCCTTCTAAAATCACAACCGCCTCTTGTGATTTTGGCAAACGAGTGACTATAAATAAACTACTATTACTTGTGATTTTTGCTAGACTCGGATTGATTTAAAAAAAAAACGGTTGTGGGTTTATGGGTCTGGAATTAACTATGAAATAGGAGATTAGAAATCCTTGTATTCTTTGGCTTTTAAATATGCAATTCATTGAAAAATCAAAGTAATTTGAAAGAAAGCTATAGCTTATTAGTCATCGCCACTGCTGGTTGTGATCACTAGCCTAAAACAAACTACAGTTTTCACTAATCATATTATTGTTAGTTAGATTGGGAGTTTTATGATTTGTTAATTTCAAAGATTGAATGGTATATGAAATTATGTTATGGTGACTTTAGATCTAGATATGGACATGTACCTACTACCTTAATAATGGTTCATACGTTTGAACTGTACCTTGTTTGCATCTATGCTAATCTAGCGTATTAAGTGTATGCTAAAAAGGATATTCAAGGCAGTGTACGGATTAGAGGGAAGTCTCTGGCAAATTAGGAATTCTAATCTAACATACACCTTTGTAAAAATAGAACTATCATGTATATGGAAGTGAGCATGGTAAGTAAAGAGCTGGGGAAATAAGTATATTTACGTAATTATGACTGCTCAAGGATTGACGGAATTGATAAGTAAACAACCATAGCAATAATTAAGAGACATG